CTGACTTACGTGTCCCTTTTTATACTGAACTTCTCCATGTGCTAGTGATTTAATCCTGGCGTTTACACCCGTTTGTCGACTTATAAGCCTTCATTACTCCCCACACTCCACTGTTACTCTACCGGTGTGTACGATTCCATCACAACCAGAGAACTTCACTTGGTTGTTGAGGCAAGTCTTGAACTCATGTCGATGCTCCTGCCTCAGCCTCCCAATGCTAGTATTACAGGTGTTTGCCACCGAGCCCACCCCCTAGGCTCGCTCTTCCACACTCCACGCATCGCGTGTAGCTTTGAGCTGACTCACACGATTCTCTGCCTCGCGGGCTCGCGTGGCGCAAGCTCTCCGCGCACTTTTAAAATCCCCACGACCGCGCCTCCCTGGTGTCCAGGATTGGAGACCCGCAGGAAATCTGTGGGCCGGGTCTGGGATTACCTGGGCGCTGTACGCTAGGGGGCGCACGTGCCCAACTCAGCCACTTCCGGTCCACCGCAAGGTGGGTCCGGGAGCCGGCGGAACCTTTCCGTCGCGCCTTACACGCGCGGCAGGGACGGTTTAGGCTGCCGCACACCGCTCTCCAGGCGCGCTGCTGTTCGCTCAGGACCGCGAAGGAAGGCGCGGAGGTGCTGTCTGCTGCTTCCTTGGTCGTGGGCACCATGGACGTGCTGGCAGAGGAGTTTGGGACGCTGACCCCGGAGCAGCTGGCCGCGCCGATCTCGACTGTAGAGGTGAGCGCCAGAGCGCCGGGAGCGGAAGGAAGGGGCCGCGGGGCGTCTGAGGAGGCGTTGACCGGAGAGAGTGGCTCGGGAGGAGGGGCGGGCGTCCCCTTCTGCGCACGCGCAGGGCTTCCGCGCATGCTCGATCCCCGCCTGTGCGTCTGCTCGCGATCCGGCCTCCGCGTGCGCGGGGAAGGAGCCGGAGAAGCTGTCAGCAGCTACTGAGGCCGCGTGGAGCCCTGTTTGTCCAGGTGTGCACGGCGGAGGCCGACCTCGCACTCACCCCGCGGGCCGGTTACGTCGTCACGGACTCCTAGAGGACCCCGAGGTCCAGGGAGTTTAAGCCACTGTCTTACACCCTACGGCGGGACGTGGGGCTGAAGCCAGGTGGTCTCAGTCCCAGGCCAGCGGTCACGCCTTTTAACCCGCAGGCACGTTTGTACTGCAGGCATGTTTGACACACCCTGAGCATTTGCCCCCAGACTGCCCTGTCTCTGGCGGAGACGCCCCAAAACTTCATCAGACTCTCAGAAAAGGAGGATAGCTGCCCAGCGAAGTGCAGCTGTTGCTATCTTCGCTGGAAAGACACAAATCCTCTTTGAGCCTGGGAATCAGCATTGGCGTGGAGTGGGAGCTTGGGGAGAGGGGGCTGGAGAAGATCCGGTGGAAGGAACAGGGTATTGGAACCCACGGCGAGACCATCAGATGCTGCTGAGGCACTGAAAGGCAGTGGGTAGTCCTGGAGTGAAGGGGAGGAGAGGAGGGGACTAAGACATGGGGGATAGGTAAGGGTTCTGGTTGTACACCGCTGTGTTAGACATCCGAAGGGGTTTGGACTTTTTCCCTGCGGGCATCTGGGATGCTTTTGGAAGGTTTGAGTAGGGGAGAGCTGATAGTGACTCTGGATTATAAGAACCTTTTTCTAAGTTTTTGGCAGCCTGGTGAAGTTAATCAGACCCAGTCTGAGTGCCTGCAGCGCGCTGCCGATCATCACAGCAATGCTAGGTTTTAACTGTGAAGGTTAACATCAAGGGTTAGCAGTGTTGAGCACCTATGATGTGCTGGGTTCTGTTTAACAACAACATGCATTTTGTTTTTTAATCTAAAATAAATACCCTTTGTACTTTCTTTTGGCCTAAGAGTCAGAGTGATTAAGTAACCAGTCCAGGGTCAAAAGGCTGATGAACGGCTGATCTAGAATTTGGATTTTGTCAGTCAGACTCCACAAGGCTTCGTACTTGACCACTGGCCAGACTGTTTCTCCAGTAGCTGAGAACTAAGCCTAGAAGATGGCACTTGTCTGAGCTCGCATGGCTATGGAGAGAGTAGAACCACAGTTCTGATTCAGCAACAGTTCTTTCCTGGTCCTCCGCATCCATGTTAGGAGCCCAGCCTTCGAAATACACAGAGGTCTGAAGTTCCCTCCTGCTTCTCTCCAGTCGAGACTGTCCTCTCTTAGTGGCGTGCTGGGCCACCTGGCACGCACTCTCCCGCTCCAGTCTATCCTCTCCGCTGTGCCCAAAGCCATCAGCCTAGACAGGAAGACGGCTGTGGTGTGCTGTGTGCAGACCTTCCGGTATCTGCCCACTGCTTGTAGGGTACCAGAAGCCCTCGTTTCCCCTGTCTGCCCCCTGCATACTTTCCAGCCTCTTTCTTGCCTTGAGATTTTTCTACTCTGTGCACTTTCTTCTGGACTTGCCCCCTCATTCCTCTTTGTAGAATAAATTCTACGCATCTATCATATGACTTCTTTAGGAAGGCCTTTCCTGATTCTCCTAGGAGATGTAGATCTTCCTACCCACTGCCATAGTACCCTTTTTTTCCTCTCATTGTTGTTGGGGTACTGGTGATTGGCTGCAGGACCTTGCATGTGCCAGGTGAATGCTCAACCACTGAGTTCTATCCCTAGCCCACTTTTAAAATTTTGAGATGGTCTCACTAAGTTGGCCAAGCTGATCTTCAATTTGCAATCCTCTTGCCTTAGCCTCCCCAGTGCTTAGTTTATAGGCGTGCACCACCATGCCCAGCTTGTTTTTCTTTTTTAGCTGAATATTCACTTTGCATTTTTATTTTTGTGAAATAAACACTATAATGTCACTGTTGAACCAATAAATTAATGTGCACAGTACTATGTTAGAGAAATTTCTTAGCAGTCCTCCCCAGTGCTGGGATTACAGGCATGCACCACCACACCCAGCTGCTCGGATGACCCTTTTCAGTTATTTCCCCACCCCAACCGCAGTTTGATTTCTGTCATCACAGATGGGTTTGCCTAATTACTTCTTGAAGATACTTGTTCTCCTCTGGCCATCCTCCGTCTCCCTCATACCGCTGGGTGCTGGGGTGGGCTTGGCCAGTCTCACTGCATGGTGCGCTCCTTCGTCAGTGCTCCTTAGGTGATCTCCCTCTTGTGGCCTTAATTACCATCCATCGATGGCCTCCCTAGTTACAGTCCCGGCCGCTCGAGACTCACGTTCCAGACCATGTGTTGTTTGAATTTCTGCCAGCCCCTCCACCATGCTGCTCCTGCCTGGGGCCCACAGGCTGTGCGTGGACCAGAACCCCTCCTTTAAGTTGTGGGTGTTGAGTATTTTGTCCCAGCAACAAAGAAAGCAACTGAGAAACCTACTTACTCAGGAAGAATCATGAGTGTTAAAAGAAGTATGGGAAGAGCTCAGAGTCTGAGGCATCAGGAAGATTGTGATGTACTTTTGCATATAAATATGTTATCTGCATGTGCGTATGTATGTGATTCCCATAAAAGTGGTTACAATTTCAAATTGTTCTTTTTTTATTGCACATTACTTTGCTCATTGCAGCACAGTCATTTCTGATGCATGGATAGAGCCCCTTATAAGGGCATCGTCGTTGCTGGCGCACAGTTCTGATGCCTTTATTGTTGGTTCACAGGAAAAATGGAGGCTGCTTCCAGCATTTCTAAAGGTAAGTGTTTAACATTCAATAATTAGTTATTTGTTGTACAATAAAATTCAACAGATAGCTTTTTTTTTTTGTCTTTTTGAGACGGGGTCTCACTGTGCAGTTTAGGCTGGCCTTGAGCTCACTGTGTAGCCCAGGCTGGCCTTGAACTTTCTCAGCCTCCGAGTGCTGGGGTTACAGGAGTGCGCCACCACGCCTGGCAGCAGATGGCATTTTTAAGATTGAACTTTATCACCAGCTGACTTCATGGAATTGTGTACTTCGCTAAGTTTGAGCAGCCAAGGGACTACAAAAAGAAATCCCTGCTCCCAAGGGGCGGGTGGGGGAGGGTAGTCGTTCAGAGAGCCGTGCACGCTGTCGCTCAGTGCATGGGTGATGAGTGCCAGAGCGCAGTGCTCCAGGGGTGAGGACCCAGCTGAGCTGTGCCCCAGGCAGGCAGGAGAGGTGGGCTGGTTAGGAACCGCTGCATCCAGCAGGGGCTGGGCTTTGCCTTAGGAGCTTGTGCCAAGGGGCGAGACCTCTTGGAACCCACCAGTGTGGCGGTAATGGAGAAGCCAGTGAGTGCTGGTCAGGGTGTGGGGACGTGGGACCCCATGCTCTGCCGGCGAGAATGTAAAATTTGGCAGCTGCTGCGCCCGGAAAGCAGCCTGGCAGCTCCCCAGGCGGTTAGACATGACGTGACCTGGGGGCTGGCAGTCCTGCTCTGGATGTCTGCTAAGGGTAGGTAAAAAGTGTTCACAGCAGTGCCGTTTGCCCTGTTCTTTTCTTTCTCCCCTCCGTCCCTGCAAGTCTCCCTCCCTTCCTCCCCCTTCCCTCACTTCCTCCCTTCTGTGGCGTGCTGGGAGGGAGCCCAAGGCCCCTTGCAAGTGCTCTGCCACTGAGCTGCTGTCTCCAGCCCAGCAGGATTCATAGGAGCCGAAAAGTGGAAACCTTACCAGTGAACATCAGCTGGTGCATGGACTTTCTTAAATTTGGTCTGTTCACCCAGTGGATTCCCTGCCACTTAACACGAGTACTTCCTTTCTACCTTTTCTGGCCTGCTGGGGCCTAGTGCAGGCGCCAGTACAAAAGAGAAAGGGGACTTTAGGGGCTGAAGAGATGATGCTTAATTGCTTGTTTTATTTATTTATCTGTTTATTTATCTATCTATCTATCTATCTATCTATTTTAATTTTGGGGATTTTTTAGACAGGGTCTTGCTATACAGTCCAGGCTGGCCTTGAACTCATGATCCTCCTACCTCAGCCTCTTGAGTGCGGAGATTACACACCTGTGCTACCACACCTAGCAGCTTTGTTTTTGTAATTGGATCTGTTACCTTATTGTAGGGCTGGGGATTTAGCTCAGCAGCACAGTGCCTGCCTGGCAAGTGTGAGGTCTTGAGTTCAATTCCAGGTACCAAAAAAAAAAAGGTTATTGTAGAGTCCATAGGTGTATTCAAGTCCTAGTATGTTAGATTCCAAAGGTCAGGTTGGTTCCCAGGGAGACACTGAGGGTGTGAGGATGCTGGTCGGGGCACGGAAGGAGAGCACATTACTGAAGTTCTGTCCTAAGTGGAGCTCACGGGTCCTTCGGTTAGTGTGAGTTACACAGCGTGTCGTTTTGTTGCTGACCAGCTTGTCCATCTTCCGTTTAGGTGAAAGGCCTTGTGAAGCAGCACATAGACTCCTTTAACTATTTCATCAACGTGGAGGTAAGCAGCAGCGCTTAGATGTGGGCAGAGCTAAGTTTGCTGCCAGCCGGGCCGCATTGCTAATGTTCTGCTTTCTGAGCAGATAAAGAAGATCATGAAAGCCAACGAGAAGGTCACAAGCGACGCTGACCCGATGTGGTACTTAAAGTAAGGAACATGCTTTTACCTGACTACCTATTCTATTCAGCATTTCCTAAAGTGAATATACTCGCCTCTCAAAATTGCTACAAAATGATTTTCTTGTAGCTGTTTAATACAGTAATTATAAAGCGCTCAGATTTAACCTTTAATTGGCAAACTATAACAAAGTTATAATTGAGAAGTTAAACCATTAGGCTTTAACTGTGTTAAACAAACTGTTACTTTGCAGTAATTTTAGACTTACAGAAAACTGGCAAAAACAGCAGAGAGTTCCCATGCGTTCTTCACCTGGCCTCTACAGCCAGACCAGGGTTACCTGCAGGGAGTGGGAGCCGCTGCCTGCTCCCAGCTCATCTCCGGCTGCCATGTGGTGTTTCCCACCCACGTGCTCCTGCCGGGCACAGGGGTCGCTTGGTCTGGCACTCTACTGTCTGTTGCACTGCCCTAGTGCTTGGCCTCTCCTGGCCAGTTCTGCAGCCTGACTCGGTACTTCACGACCCTGAGGCTTTCATACAGTCTGGTCTGTTTTCGCAGGAGCTCCTTGCATTTGATGTGCATGATATTTGCTCCTGATTAGACTGGGTTATGTGTTTGTGGTGAGACTCCTGCAGAGAGCAGTGTGGTGTATCATTTTCACAGGTTCATACTGCATGTCAGTCCAATTTATTGCTGGTGGTTTTGTCTTCACTTGATTAAGGTGGTATCTTCCAAGTTTCTCCATGGTATTTTACTGTTTTCCCTTCTATAATTAGTAAATATCACATGGAGAGAGTCTGCAAAGCTGTCTTATTCTTCATCATGCTTTCGCCACTGATTTCATTTTACTTTATTTCGTTTTTGTTCTTTTTTTTGGTACTGGATTCAAACTCAGGGCCTCACACTTGCCAGGCAGGCACTGTGCCGCTGAGCTGCATCCCAGCCCTCACCACTACTTTAGCAGATCTGTTGGTTCTGATCTATAGCCGCCCCTGGAATAATGCTAAGTCTGCTCCTTCATTTCTTCTGCTCAGGAGCTGCGTTCCTTCCCCGAGTTTGCCTTCTGTCCGTTCTCCGATTGCAGCTCGGATGCATGGGTGTTTATTTTGTCCTGTGCTTGTAATCCAGTGCTAGCACTCTTCTGTCCCCGGACTTCCTTGGCTTTGGCCGTGGAGGCTCCCTCAGATGATGCCTGTGTCCTCTGCACAGCCTTACTGTTCAGGCTCTTCAAGGGCCCCTTCACTCGTGGGCTGTGATCGGCAGCGGCATTCACTTTGACCAGGCTAGGAATCAGCCATTTCTCCAAGAGCCCTTGATCCCTTTTTTTTGAAAATAGCGTTTATTAAGCAGTATGTGAACTCTAGGGTCTCAGCAGACAGGGTTAGGAAATATGTGCATGTGTCCTGACACGTGTGCATGTGTGTATTTTCTGTACTGCTCTGTCCTGTTCGTGTGTGCATGTCTTAAAAGGTAGGCAGATGAGCACCTCCGAGTCCCACCCACCACTACAGAGTCACTCTCACCTTCTTTCTGTCCCTGAGCATGAGAAACCTGGCTTCTTTATCTACATAGAAAAAGTGCATTAAAAATTCACTTTTTAGGGGCTGGGGATTTAGCGGCAAAAGCGCCTGCCTGGCAAGCGCAAGGTCGTGAGTTCGGTTCCCGGTACCGGAGAAAAACCCCCCCAAAAAAAAAAAACAAAACAAAAAATTCACTTTTTAATTTTTTCAGTCCTAGGATGTACAGAATTGCAGATTGGTAGCACATGCCTCTATGAGACTGGAGTTCAGGAGTTAGGGTGCAGCACTTACATGTGTCCTCTTTCCCAAGTACCGAATGCTGAACCCAGGGCCTTCACACTCGTTCACATCCTTGCATTAGTTACTTCTTTCTCATTGCCAGTGCCCAAAGTTGAAGGGGGAAAGGTTTATTTAGCTCACAGTCTGTAGAGATTTCAGTCCAAAATCAGCTGGTTCTAAGGCAGGGTGGCACATGGCAGAGAGGCAATAGTTCACCTTGGTGGAAGACAGCAAAAGCAGTAAGAGAGCAGAAAGGGAGGACAAGAGTCTTTCCCTTATATTCATGCAGGCTACCTGACCTGGGGCGGATGTAGCACTCACACCCTTAATTCCAGCGTTGCCCTACAAATCAGTCCCACACTCCAGATTCAGCTGCCTCCAAAAAAGCGCCACCTGAAAGTGCATGAAGCTTTGGGGAGATATCTAGACACAAACCATAACAATCGTCAGCTCTCTTTTAATTCTTTATTTTGAGACTGGGCCTCCCTAAGTTACTAAGTTGCTAAGTTGCCCAGGTTAGGCTTGAACTTGTAATCTTCCTCCCACCAGGTCCATCTCTGTCCTTTTTGTCTTTAGCCTTGCAGTATCTAATCAAAGTTCTGTTTTCTGATGTGACTTGTATTACCAGTTCTTTTTTCCCCTACCTTTCTGATGCAGTTTTGTTTCTCCTTTTAGTGCAGTAAGATTTGTGTTCCATTTTGGGTTCCCTACATCCTGGTTGATTTTAGTTATGCGTGTCTTGGGGTTACGTGACACAGTGTGTTGTAAGAGTCAGACTTACACAGCAGAGTACCCTTGGAAGAGTGTTGCTTGTCTCCCAGCCCTTCCCACCCTGTTCCTAGCCGTCCCCACGGTCCCCAGTGTCTTTCGTTTCTCCTTTCTCCTCCTGTGGTTCTTCTGCACCAGTGAGCACTTCTTCTCCCTCTTCTGGCCTCTTCTTTCTTTCTTCAATGATAGCACACCACTCTGCACTTTGAGTTTTTCATTACATATCATTTTTATGGAGCCATCTTTCTAGTATTTTTCTAGAGATTTACAGTACTTTCAAAAAGACACTTTAATAATATTTTCCCCCATTTGTAAAATTATACTGTCCCTCCAAGAAGATGTCCAGCTGTCATTTTTAATCCATCATCCTTGGCAAGGTAAGCATTTGTCAGCATATCCTGATGCTTGGGAGAGTTGGCCTGTTTGTGTCTGTGTTCTTTGAAGAAGTGTCGTTGGTCATGATGTCGTTTGCTTTTCAGATACCTTAATATCTACGTCGGGCTTCCTGATGTTGAAGAAAGCTTCAATGTAACTAGACCGGTGTCCCCGCATGAGGTACTGTGGATCGTACTTTAACTCAGTATGCCCTTAGTACGTACTCTTGAGAGCATTTACAAACAAGTAATTAAAAAAGAACTCTTCTGAGACACATACATCAAAAATTAGCGAGCACTTGTGTGACAGATTGCAAATTCCAAATCTAGGACTGGAAATGGGCATGCTGATGCTCACCTGGTAAAGTCTGTGCAAATAGTCCAAAATATGAAAAATTACATATCCGAGATGCTTGGATTGCATGCGTTTTGAATCGCAGTGCTCAGAGTGTTGTATACTCCATCAGGAAACACTTGTGCACTGTTTACTTGCTTGTTTAATGCTAGTGAGGTGCACTTGTGTATGTCCTTTCCTAGACTTCTCAGCAGCCCCCTCCCGGGCCACTAGCCTCACTCTGCAAGGGGTCACGCGCTCTCTGAGGGTCAGCCAGGCTCGGCCACGCAGGAGTGTCAGGGGAGAGGGAGGTGGACACACAGGTCTGCATAGAGCTGTGAACAGACAGGTAGACCAGGGCAGGCCTTTGGATTGGCTTTTAGCAGATTCTGGTTTTCTCCTCAAATTCCCCTACTTGTGTTCATAGTTGGGAACTGATTGAGGAAAGAGTGAGAATTGTGTAGATTGCTCTGGTTTTTAAAGTTCAGGTAAAACGGAAATAGCAGTTAGGGATATACAGGGATCTTTACTGAAGAACAGGTGAGGTATCCAGCGTTGTGGTTCTTGTCTAATAGTTGGTGCGATTGAGTAAGCAGACAGATTACATAGATAAAGTTTTACTTTTATTTGTACATGTTTACAGTACTAATACTGATATTATCTGGACACCAAGCATGTATTGAATATTTTATGTTCTAACATTGAAACAAGAGATGAGACTCAGTATCCTTCCTCAAGGAGCTCCATGCTCTTGCGAAGAGATTAAAATAAGCAAACACATAGAATAGACACCAGGGGTTGCAAACCTGAATGCTCAGAGGGACAAGGTCTGAAGGTGGATGTGTGCAGGGTATGGAAGGGGCTTGTGGGATGTTGGGATGGCCAGCCCCTGAGTGGGATGTGTGGTCTGTACCGGGTGAGGAGTTTTGTAACACAGTTTAGTGTGTTTATAGAATGAAAGCAGGTGTGGTTTAGATTTGTGCTCGTGTGTACACCTTGTTACTATTGCTCTGCTGAATTTTGCTGAACAACCCAGCCAGCCACATGGATTACTTTCTGTGGACTCACTTGCCAAGGAACAATCTGACTGCTTTGGGTCTGCAAGAAAAAGAATGGCTTTGGGTCTGCACGAAAAGAATGGGCTCTGGGCTTATTGTCACTGTCCCGGAGTTGGTGGAGCCAAGGGTGCTGCAGCAGTGTCTGGAGTTTGGATCAGCGCAGGAAGTCTCCCCTGCAGGCCCTGATGACTCCTAGGCCCCGAAGTGGCTTGAGAATAGTTGGAGAGGATCAGAGTGACACGCTGCATCCTTCACTAGAGCCAGTGCTCCAGCGTGGCCAGGACCCTCCTGTCACTGTCTGATCTCTTTCAGTGCCGCCTGAGGGACATGACGTACTCTGCTCCCATCACAGTGGATATCGAGTACACCCGAGGCAGCCAGAGGATCATCCGCAACGCCTTGCCCATTGGCAGGTGAGATGTGGAGTCGGCTAGGAGCTGTGCTTCCAGAGCCCAGCCCGGTGCCGTGCCCTTGGCAAGTTCCTGGAGTTCCCTTCGCCCCCTTCCTCATTTGAGATGGGTGGGAAGTGGACCCTAGTTCACGGATTATTAATGCGTCAGATGAGTCAACCCATGGAAGACACTTTGGCAGTGTCCAGCCTAGAGTTGTGCTTGTTATTAATTATGGAACTGTGTCTCTAAAGTTGAGGAAGCTGGGCATGGTACCACATGCCTGTAATTCCAGCACTTGGGAGGCTGAGGCAGGAGGATTACCATGAGTTCAAGGCCAGCCTGGGCCGCATAGTGAAACCCTGTCTCAAAAACAAATAAACAAAAATCCCAGATGAATGGATAAGGAAAATATGGTATTTCTATTCAATGGAGTACGACTCTTCCATAAAGAAAGATAAACTTGAGGCATTTGGAGGAAAATGGATGAACTTTGAGACCATAATTTTAAGTGAAACAAGTAGACACACAAGGTTAAATGTCACGATTTCTCTTATATGCGAAACCTGAAGTATAAATAAAGAGCAAAAAAAAAGATAGATAACAGGAAGTAAAGAGAGAGAGATCTTTTGCAAAAGGCAAGGGGATGAGGAGATGGAAGGAAGAGAGTAGAAGGAAGTGTGTTCCGCACATGTACCACCTCCCAGGAAGAGTGCGGTCGTGCTTACGCAAACCCGAACTAACATAAAACAGAACAGAAAAGGTGAAATTCCTTGAGAAATCCCTTTGGTGGGGGCCTATTGGTAGTAACAGCTGTTTTTTTTCTGCAAATATCTTCATGTTGGCTGCATCCTGGGTGGTGACTTGAAAGAATGCCCCAGTTGAGCTGAGTGCATCAGGCCAGCATCACTTAACTGGTTGTAAGGGTATCTTGTTGCGACTGCCCTTTTGGCAACCTGCCCTCTTCTGGCCAGACCTCTCCAGCTGTCACATGTTGGGTCTTGACCTCGAAGTGTTCAGGTGTGGCTTTGTTTTTGTTCATTCTGCATAGATGTCACTGTGAGGCCTCTGGGCGCGGCCGTCTGCCTGTGACTAGGACTCTCACGAGAAGCCTGCACGTCAGCTCCCCGCCGCCACAGCGCCCACGTCCCCTGCATATCTCCAGCGCTTAGTCTTTCTGCAACGCGTTCTCGATCATTTCTTCCCATCTCTGTCCCGTTTAGCAATTCTGTATCCCACTGTGTCCAACCTATTCTTACTCAGTCTACTCCAAGATTGTGAAATTAAGGCTTAAATTAAAACAGTGCTGGGCAGTTTTAGTGTCTCCCACTTTGCCTTGTTCTGCTTGACTCCCGTTTGTACCCTGGGATTCACTGTGCTGTTTCCAGGTACCTCTCAAGTCACGCTGCTCGCTGTGAACGAGCAGTGGCTGTCCCTTCCAGCGTCCCCCGACGCCGCGTGCACAGGTGAAGGAGACCACGTGTCTGAGACCGTCGCATCTGTACTGGGGGCGCGTGTGCCGAGCAGCTCCTGCTTCCTTCACTCTTTGTCCCGTGCCCTGCAGTCTCTGTGTGCCGCGCAGAAATGCTGGCGTCAGGCGTGTGCACCGCACGTTTGGGACTCCTTGCAACTTTGGCCAGTGACAGTCTGTACATTGTGTTCTCTTGTTTTCTTTTAAACAGAATGCCCATCATGCTCCGAAGCTCAAACTGTGTTCTCACGGGGAAGACTCCAGCAGAATTTGCCAAACTGAACGAATGTCCCTTAGACCCAGGTTTGTGTGTGTCGTGGTTTTACAGCACTTCCTTCCCTTCTCTTTTCTACATTTGCTTTTGTTCTCTTGTTGCTGTTCTCCTTAAGACAATATCAGATTTTCTGCCTTATGGTGAACTTAATAAAATTGTGTTCATAGAACATCAAAAATTTGCTTCTAAATATATTGTCAGTCTATTCCTAAAATTATAGTTTCTTCTTTTATTTCAGATTTCAAATTGTATTGTGTCAAGTTCTGATTTATTGCTGTGCTTTGTTAGCATTCTCTTCCTACCTTGCTCAATATTTTCATATGCTTAAAATTCAGGAACAGCTGGGCATGGTGGCACATACCTGTAATCCCAGCACTTGGGAGGCTGAAGCAGGGAGATTGCCACAAGTTCAAGGCCAACCTGTGCTATATAGTGAGACCCTGTCACAAAAAACCTAATAATAATAATAGTAATAGTAATGTTTCTAAGAAATCAGGAGCAATCTCTTAAAGTTACTGTTTCAAGGGCCTGAGAAGATTCTAGCACCCTGTTTCAAGCTGTTTTAAATGCAGTAAAAGGGTGTGTGGGGGAGTTACTGTTTAAATTTTTTTAAGTTGTATTTTTATATTATTTCTAGGCAGTTACTTTTGTAAAGTTTCAAACGTAACACTTAAAATTTCTCTTAATGCCTTAGCTTCTGTTTCACATGGATTTACTTTACCTCCCCACCCCCCGTACCAGGAGTCGAACTCATGACCTTGCACTTGCCAGGCAGGCACTGTGCCGCTGCGCTAAATTCCCAGCCCCCGCCCCCGACATGGATTTACTTTAAATGCTAATTAATTTAACCTTATTTCCCTAGAGTTGTACTGATATAGGGTCTCAGAAGGTTTTGGGAAGAAGTTAAGACTTTACTGGACTCTGACACAGTTTTCATGACTCAGATACATTGCCTTGTTTTGTTGTATATTTGACAGATGAAATGAAATCTCTCTCCTCTGAACTGTGCAAAACAGTGTATGATGTTGTGTGTTTTATTGAATATAAAATACTCTTTCAGAAACGTAAACTTAGTCTGTTAGTATTATTGATTTGTTAGAAAACTTAGAGCCCATTTTAGTTTATGTCAAGTATTGTTAGTTACTCCTTTGTGTATGAATTCTGAAGACTCATGTATTTAACGTGTTTCCTCCTAACACAGGTCTAACACTGACCTGTGTGAGAAGTTGGTGATATGCAGACAGTGAGGCTGTTCTGTGTCCCTGAGGGGGAGGCTCATTTGTGTAACACCGAGTGCTGGTGCTGTCCCAGTCCGTAGGTACCAGCAGCCTTGCCGGTACATTGGCCCCTGGTGCAGCAGCCTGGGGAGGTGGCACGATCAGGAGGACCCGCCTTCCCTCGGCCCCACTGGCCAAGACGAGGTGGCAAAGGTTTTCTTGTTTTCTTCGGACAGGTGGCTACTTCATTGTCAAAGGAGTTGAAAAAGTTATTCTTATCCAGGAGCAGCTGTCTAAGAACAGGATTATTGTGGAAGCAGACAGAAAAGGGACGGTCGGAGCTTCAGTGACCAGGTATGGGAGCACTGCGGCCCCATCCTCAGCAGCTGGAGGTAGCCTGTGTTTCTCCGGGTCGCAGGCCGCGTGCCGGTGTGTAAGCACCAGGCACTGACTCAGATGACAGCCATGGCGGTGTGACACGCTTTTGCAAGTCAGGGAGTTATTTGAGTTCGATTATCTATGCATTCATAGCATTAAAGGACTTTTTAAAAAGAAAAAATACAAAAGCATTCTTCAGTTTTTCATGTTCCTTTTCAGTCTTGGACCATGTACATGTCTTCTTGCATTGATGTGAGCAGACTATTTTATACTTAATACTTAAGGAATTGTAGCATGGACCGGACGGGTGTGGTTAAAATTGGGGGATAATGATTTGTGGGAACCACGTGTTTGTGGCACAGACGAGATGTACATGCTCTATGAAGCTTCTCTTCTGTGGCCTCTGATACACTGATTGTCTCCGAGCCCAGCACTTTCTTTCTGGCCAAGGCAGCTAACAGTAATAGCGTCCCACGTACTTGGTACATTTTATGTAATCGTCACTTATTTCTTCTAAGTGGTGTTATCTCCATTTTATAGTGGGGCTCAAGGTTACTGACTGTTGAGAGGGAGACAGCGTTTAGACTCAGATATGGTCTCTAACCCATGGCTGTATGGTTCTGGGGCCGGAGAACCTGGATTTGAGTCCCAAAGCTATTCTTTCTGGCTGTGCCACTGGAGCAGGCAGTTACTTAGCTTCTCCAAGCCTTGTAATTTCCCCGTCTGTGATTTGAAGCCCACACTTTTTCATAAGTGTTGTTATGTAGACGGTTAGCACGCGCAAAGTGGGCAGCGGAGTGCACGTAGTGTGGAGCAGCGCATCAGTGTGCGTTACTGTTGTGGTTACATGGGGCTTCTGAGATGCTTTCAAATCCATCAGGAATTTTCTAAGGGGTGGAGATCCCGATAGAAGGAGAGTCCTTAGTTTCTTCCAGCTTTACTATATTCCAAGACTGTGGGTATGTTTTATTATTAATTTATTTTATTTTATTTTTTATTTTTTTGGTCTTTTTGAGACAGGGTCTTGCTATGCAGTCCAGGCTGGCCTTGAGCTCACTTTGTAGCCCAGGCTGGTCTTGAGTTTGCAACGATCCTCCTGCCTTAGCCCTTCGCCTCAGCCTCCCAAGTGCTGGGATCACAGGCGTGTGCCACCATGCCTGGCTTTATTATTAATTTAAAACTCGTGGATATCCTCATGGTTTTCTCAGTACGGCTTGGGCCCAGCTCGAGGTTTTTCTCTTCTGTGTAAAGCGGGCCATGGATATGTGCCCTGCACGAGATGGAAGTAATGGGCTGTAGCTCATTCATCCACCAAACTTGCATGGTAACTGCAAAGCTGGAGGAGCGTTTATAGCAGTGGTGCCGAACCGAGGGCACGTGTGCCACAGCGGGCTGTGAGTGCCACTGAAGCCTCTGTAAGTTTCGCCATCACTTCTTACAGTGTTTTCGAAAGTTCCTGGAGGTGGTGGCAGGCGGGAAGGGGGTCGTGTGTGTTTGAGAAGCACTATTGGGAAGGACCGTGCCGATCAGTGCTGGTCGCGGAGCCTCCTGGAGGGACTGTCGCTGCCGACACGCGTCGCTCAGTGAGGACGCATTTTAACCAGCCGGGTGTCCCTGTAGCTCCACCCATGAGAAGAAGAGTAGAACCAACATGGCTGTGAAACAAGGACGGTTCTACTTGCGGCACAACACCCTGTCTGAGGACATACCCATCGTCATCATATTTAAGGTAAGGCAGCTCACCTCTTGGGAACTATAGCGTTCTCTCGGCTTTATTTTCATGTGTAATTAGAAATGGAAACGATCAGGAATTCTAGAAATGGAAAAGTTTATAGCGTAGATTGTCAGTCCTGTTATGTGTTTCACCTTGAAAATAATAAGACTGAAGTCCATATATTTTTAAAAATAACAACAAGAAATCCAGACGTGCAGAGGGTCTGTGGTGCCAAGTAAGCCGCGCCCTGGGCCTGAGCGCACAGTTCCACCCTGAGCCCTGCGGTCACTGAGTGGGAAGCAGTCGCGGTGCAGTGCGGGCTGAGGGTGAGACGCCCCACCTTCCCATTCCCGCTCCGCTGGCCGTTTGTGCAGCCCCTGTGCTTTGTAGTTCTGTAGTTTGCTGTGAAAGATGCCTCACAGTGCAGTGCGGAGGGAGCATCCGGCGTTCCCACGCCCAGGAAGGCCGCGGCGTGCGCGGAGAGAGCCTGCGGTAGCCACTGTGTAGGCCGAGGTGGCAGCGCTTTGGACTACGCGTGCCGTGTGAGTTGGTCAGCCGTGTCAGTGAGGTGTGTCCGCAGAAGCACGCGTACACCGAGCTGCTGTGCTGTCAGCTGCGACTGGGCTCACAGGAGCCGCACCCTCCGTCGGTTCCTCAGCAGGGCGCAGAGTTTGCCCCGTCAGAGTAACCAGCCGCTTTGTCGGTGGTCCTACCCTGGGTAATGACGCTAGCTCCACATGCATGTAAGGCGAAGCTTGGTGAGCAGCTTGGTTGAGGGAATTCATTATTTGAGGAAATACTGGACAGTTCGAATAATTTCGAGCTTGGTAATGTTTATTTGCCATTGTTTAGTTTAACTTGAGGATTAATGGTTCCTATTCAGCAGTTGTTAAGACAGTGGAAATATCTTCGAAATCTCTGTGAAAAGAACGGGACCCCTGGTGGGGAGTTACACTCAGTTGGGGAAAGGGAGGAGCGTTCCGGAGTAGCCCCCAGAGGAGTGAGCAGGAGTGCGTCCTTCCTGTCAGAGCTGGCCGCAGGACTCAGGCCAGGGAGTGGGTGGGAGCAGCTCCTGGGCATCGAAGGCTGAGGCTGGGTCAGGGCCTTCAGCTTGAGAAGCACTGTGTCCTGTCTAACTGCAGGTCACGAAGGAGGCCCAAAGAGTCTGGCTGGTGTAGCTTACTGGGGGCTGAGTTCTGTAAATGAGGTGGAAATCATATATTTTCAGAATCATGATGATAATTGTAACGGGCCTGTTACAGCCTGGGTCCAGTGAGACTTCTTAAATACACATACTGTTTTCTCCTTCTTTGAGATTTGTGTTTTTTAACTGCAGAAGAAGTTCTGGCTTTTCTTCCAGGGATCCCACAGGACACATTGTCTTGTATAGGTGGTAATGAAGAACGTTATGGAACAGAGTAGCATTGCGTCTCCAGCAGGGGGCAGTGTATTCCCATGCATCGGAAAGGATGGTTAGGCAAATTTTAAACCCTTGAAGATGAATAGTGCTGCTTTCCTTAGACCAGAAATTTTAAATTAATTACCCTGCATGTGATATTTTATCATCATGTAAAAACTGTGTAACAAGTTGCATGCATGCGTAAAGATCAGAAAAATGTTTTTAAGTGCCCCTGTTAGCTAGGTAACAGAAGTTTAATAAGGCAGTTTCTTTTGTCAAATTTGTCAGTGTTGTAAATATATATATAGCTGACTCACGTTATAGAACAGGCTGTCGCTTAACAGTTTGTATACTTATGTAAGTTGAGATTTCAAACTTAACTTTTGTGAAAAGTCTTATTATTTTAAAATTTAGAAAGTCACTGAAAAGTACAGCTACATTTTTATATATTTTCCAGATCTTTTTTCCTGTGATTTTTGTAATACCCACAATTTTTTGGGGGGGTTTTTCTCCGGTACTGGGAACCGAACTCACGACCTTGTGCTTGCCAGGCAGGCGCTTTTGCCACTGAGCTAAATCCCCAGCCCTTATTTTATATTTTAAAATGAACTGTGACTACCTTTCCATGTCTCTAATAAGGATGTGTATCACCATTTTTAATGAGTATCGTGTAGAAATTGCATACACGTGGTATCATTTATTTCACCAGCTTCCTACAGTGGGACGTTGGTTTCCATTGTTTCCCTCAAAGGTTTCGCTCAGATTTGCAGCCCTGGGGTGACTGTCCTCATACATACATGTGCATGTACACGTGTACACATGCATTGCTGATGTTTCGTGAGGTTTTTGTCCTACTAATGGAAGTGAATCTTTTTAAAACACTTAGTACATGTTGCCGGATATTTTTTTCTAGAATGTATCTGTTCCAATCTAACCAGTAGTATATATACATTTAAATAAATCCTTTTAAAAATTTAGTTCAGGCAAATGAACTAAATATTTTGGTCGAGATGGCCGTGGCTTTTTTGGTCTTCCACTGTAGAAATGTTTAATAAACTGATGGGAGCTTGTTTGCTATGCACTTCTAGGACATCGCAGCTGGGAGGCAGCGCAGAGCACTGGGTATCTTAGAATCAGATGCAGGTTGAGTCCCAGCCTCTCTGTGGACTAGCTGTGTGACCGTGCACAGATTTCCTAAGCTCTGAGTCCTAGACAGCCACGAAGGGAGAACTCACCCGGGAGGGTTGTTGTGGAGCACAAGTGAAATCCTGTGTATTTTGAAAGTAGCGTGCCCAAAGGAGGATGCCTTTCCTTTTCCCTTAGTTCTCCTTGGCCATGTACTGTCGAAGTGGGGAAGATAAACTGGGCCGGCAGGAAAGGCACATCATTTCTCTTTTCTGTGTTGTGTGGCCCAACACAGGCCTTGACAGTCATTAGGACTTGATGGCTGTTGATTATAACCAACAATTGGCTAAAAGTGACAGAAGCAACAGGGTTTCCAGATGACACGCTGAGTGTGAATATGACGGATAAAGCTCTCTAAGACTACATCAGCCTTATTTATGGACTGGAATCACCACAAAGGTGCTCCTGCCCATGAATCTTCCCGCTTTCCGTTTTGTATCCCAAGCCTGCCACAGCTGCACTGTGATGGCGCCTGTAGCTTGAAGGTTTGTGTGGGAAAGGAGAGTCCGATTGCAGGGGCTCTGTTGTTTCTTGGACACCAACTTAGGTGGAAATTTATAATCTTTCAGAAGAAAGCACCAGACTTAAAGAGGGCCATTACGCTTCTCTGATTATCTGCTAGGGCCACTCTTAAGCATAATAAATAGGTGGGCTTTATTTCCTGTCGAGAAGAGTTGCTGTTTCTCCACATTAGCTATTGTGGGCGTTATCTCCTGTGCCACTTTCACACCGCGTATTCTAACAGCTGACCGTCAGGGTGCCTGTGTTCTGTGCTCATTAGCATTCCTCCTTCTGTCTTTAAAAGTCACTCTGCTCGGAGGGGCCAGGGAGAGGACCGTGGCACTTTATAAAGGGCACCTCCCCGTGACTGTGCTCAGTGCTACTGCTGATTGCCAGACTGCCGGGACCTTCTGCCAAAGCGCATTCTCTGCTGCTTGTTCATAAGTTGTTATGTAGCATTTACTTTTGACTTATTAGCAGAAATGCTTTCAGATATCTGGAGTACAAAGAGTTCCATATAAAGCTAGTTTTCAGATGTCTAAATTAAGTCTGTAAAGCAAAATGGTTGAGCATTTTGTTCGTTTCCATAGCAATATATCATTTATTTGTAGCTGTGACTGCTGAAGGCTGGATAATCGTAAAATCAGCTCAGCCTTCAGAGCTGGAGCACTTGATGAGAGCTTGCCTTAGTTATTGCCCTCGTTTTCAGCGACTCGGTGTAGGAAGAGTTCAGTCTGTTTGCAGCGAAGCTTTGGCAGTGATCATGCTTTCTGCACATATGGTGTCATTTACCTTGTACTTGGCATATCTCTGTTGCATAGCTTAGACGTATTTGGGGGCCTGTGCACACTGTTTAGATCCATGTTAGACCGTTGGACAACTTTATGCAGTTATAAAATTACTGCTTGCATTCAGCGTCAGGACAATTCAAATGACAGTCCGTATGTTAAGTGAGGGGGGTGGTTTCCATTACTTTTAAACATTGAAGTGAACAATCAAGTTTATAGTCTTTTTCACTTGGAGATTATGGAAGTACAGATTACTAAAATAATGTGGGTAGCCTTTAGGTCACATAATATAGATGTTAACTAATGCATAAAGAGTCTGTATTTCCCTTAGGATTCTGTTTGTGTTGAAGACCTTTGCTTGCTAATGTTGTCGTGCATGCTCGGGTCAGCGTCTGTCCCATACAGATCTCTGCCCGGGTCTAATTCTTCTCTTAGAAGTGAAGAGCATTGGTTAAATGTTTTATTATCATAGATATTAGAGAAACATGAGTAGATTCCACTGCATATCGGTTAACTTAGTGTTGCTTTTTTACAATTTGGTCCCGTTGAAACCCCTGTAGCACCTAGATCTGGGAACCCTCTGTGACGCTGGACAAGGGAAGTTACCTTTAGTGAACTTGCGTGTGGAGAAGCTCTGTGCCTGTGTCTGGGCTGGTCACTTGCTGACAGGGAGACGGTGGGGCTGGTTGCACCTGTCATCAGCACCACTCAGAGTGGATGCACCTCAGTGTGCTTGAGTTAAGAATGGCTTAGTTTTTGTTCATTTGTTTAAAAAAGTAGAACTGATCTTTTTTTTTTTTTTACAATTGCCATCCTTGTTTTAGTATTTATTTATTTTTTTACTGCTATCCTTTTTAAAATGTTTAATTCTGGTATTTTGAGATAGGGTCTCTCTATGTATGTAGGCCACGGTGTTGTTGAACTTACTATTTAGCCTAGGCTGCCCTTAAACTCATGGTGATCCTCCTGTCTCAGCATTCTGAGTGCTGGGATTACAGGCATGCACTTCTATACCTGGTTTTACAGCTGTTCTCCTTTAATGTGTGAAGTACTTAGTATTTTAAAAATTGGATAATTTTCGAATAGCAGAGTTTATTTCTAGTATCCTTTGAAATAAAATCCTTCATGTCAAGTTAGAGGTAAAAAGACTGCAAAACTAGAGTAACAAAAAATGATTTGTATTCTGAAAAATTCTTGGTTAAAAAAACTATTCTGGAACTCATAAAATTACAGATTAATTTTTTTTTTGAAGTTCAAATAGCAAACTTAATTCCAGAAATTGTATTTCTGGCATGCTATGTCACTAGTTTTCACAGTTTCTGTCGGTCAGGCTGGGAATTTGAAGGCTGCAGGCTGCACTTCTGTCTCAGGGTCGAGGCACGTCAGGACTTCAGCCTGGCTGAGACCCGACGGCGCCAGAGCGGTGCTGGGGGAGCTAGCAGCCCACGGAGCTCGGCCTCCCTGGCGGTGGCTGTGCGCAGGAGGCCTCAGTCCCCGTCGCCCGGCTCTTCCTGGGCAGCTTGATTGTTTTCCTGCTGGACTGCTAGAGCACGCGGGAGCCTGCAGCACCCTGTGTACGTGAGCCTCAAAGCCCTACATACCGCCTCTGCTTTTTGTCCCTAAAAGTGAGCCACTAAGTTAGGCCTGCGGTCAGTGGGAGGAGAAGGAGAGTGTCCAGGGATTTATGGCCCTTTTTCAGCGGTAAGTCTGCATCTGACTCTAAAGTATCCCAATTAAATTCAGAGTTCATGCCACTGAAGGTCATGTGTGCAATTAAAGAATTTTGAGCTGGAAGGGACCTGACTCTGCTGTCCTGTCACACAAATGAAAACACTAAGGTAGAAGAGGGAGCGAGGCTGTGGGATCCGTGTTGTCCGAGTGTGGCCTTCTCTCAGGACCAACCCCTCTGACCTGGACCAGGAGCTAGAGGCTGCTCCTGTGGCCTCAGGCGGTGGCCTTGATGTCCTACGTCAGGACCGTCAGGACCGGGGCTCTGTCTTCCCTGCTGTCCTCCGTGGAGGAGCGCTGAGGATGAGACCAGAAAGCTTGACAGCACCCGTATCTGCTGGTTCAGTCTACTCTGCGAGGAATTTCATGCAAGCACTAGCTTGCCCCCAACTTTCCAGAAGCAGACACTGCTCTTCGGAGAGGGGCTTGGTGGGATTCCGCCGTTTCTCGCCGGGCAGAGTCCCAGGCCCACGGGTGAAAGTGAGCTTAGCGTTGTGCCGTGCGGATCTACAGAGACCCATGGAGCTGCCTTGAAACACTCGAGTGGCCTTCTCAGACCTCTTCAGTGTGTTCTCGGTTTTTAAACATCTCCTCAACCCTGTGTAAAGTGTAGTTCAAAACCTCCAGAATAATGAGGTAAAACAGCCATTAGGGAAACTCTCTTAGGATGAATATGAACGATTAGACACTTCGCAGAAAAATGCATCTTGGACCAAAACATTTGGACGGCTGCTCATTTCCGCAGTGCCTGTCTTCTGACCCCCGACTCCCGTGGTTCTTCCTGTTTGCCTCACCCTGGGCACCTGACTAGTCCTCGCCCATTCCTCCTGGTCTCCTTTTTGCATGATGAATGTGGAAGATTCAAAAATTCTAGAAGATGGGACACTCGCAGAAAATGCTTGCAAGTGTTTGTTTTCCTCTTCCTAATCAACATTTCTGTTCCAGGTTTCTTCGTAGCCAGCACGCGGCTGCCAGTGCCAGATGGCCCTGTTTCTGAGCGAGGAGCTGCTTCGCTTAGGAGTAGCACCCCCAAACAATGCCGAATTAGCATAAGCAAATGTCAGCGAATTAGCACAAAGCCAGCTCCCTATCTTTTCTGTCCTCCTAGGCCATGGGCGTTGAGAGTGACCAGGAAATTGTGCAGATGATTGGGACCGAGGAGCGGGTGATGGCTGCTTTTGGGCCCAGCCTGGAGGAGTGCCAGAAGGCACAGATCTTCACTCAGATGCAGGTGTGTCCCGCACCCCTCCCTCCCTCCTCCGTCTCCTCCCTTGCTATGAATTGCAGCTGGAAGTTCAGGGCCACCCCTGCCAGGCCCCTCTGGGCTTGGGACTGTAGAGGCCCTGAAGCTGGATCCACCGGGAGGGTGTAAGACCAGAGAGGGCGGGCAGTCTCCTGGCTTCCACTTGCTGTGGTGGAGACTGGAAGAAGGCCTTTGCCTGCACAAATCTCCTGTGCTGTCTGATTTAGAAGAGGGGTGGATGGCCATGGGGCTTTTGTTCTGATAAAATAGCAAGAACTACTTTATTCCTTATGTTCCAGGGTGGGGGTTTCTATTTTTATTTTTATTTTTATTTTTTCCAGTACGGGGGATTGAACTCAGGGTTGCTTAACCAATGAGTTACAACTCCAGCTCTGTTTATGTTTTGAGCTAGTGCCTAGTTAAGTTGCCCATGCTGGCCTCATACATGTGATCCTCCTGCCTCAGCCTCCCAAAGTGCTGGGTTCACAGGCACATACCACCACACCCAGCTTATTTTTTTTGAGACTCTGGCAGTTGTAATGTAGAAACACTTTTTTCCCATGCATTTTCTGCTTAGTATCCTCATGTACGTGCTTGTGTGTGTGTGTTGGAGATCAAAGCCGGGGCCTCACACTCTCTCAGCAGGCATTTTACTTCTAAGGTGTGTATTCCTCAGTCCTTAATGCTGCATTCATCTCTACTTGGCTTGCTTTAGGCATCCAGTTGTCTGTGCTCTCAATCCCATTTCCTGAATTCCAGATTACAGACTCAGCAAGAGAGGTCACGAGTAGTCACCGTTACCACTGTGGGTCTTCGTTGACCCTTTTAGGTGAATTCTAGGGTCTCAAAGATGAAGATAGGGAACGCTGTGTGTGTTAAAGATGGTGAAAATAGTGGTGCTCCTTTGCTAAGTGGATGAGTCCTGAAAGCCATGCCTCAGCTTTTCAGTTGGATGTAAAGCACTTCGCTAAGTATATGGTAACGTCCCTCATAGCTGCCTGGGAGGTAGGGATTCCTGCTGTGGAAGCACCACGGGCAACTCTTACTTGTCCACATGCACATTGTCTGTCATGTGGGCCCCTTGTGGCCACACGTAAATTCCAGGCTGCTGTTTTCCTGTCACCCTGGATGCCTGTAGTGATAGCGTTCCCTCTCGTGTCTGCTTGTGTATACTCAGAAAGCACATTGGCCCTGATATTTTTGTAGACTAAGCTAAACATTTAAGAAGGTTCCTTATCATATGTAAGTGTATATCATTCCAAAGCACACATCAGTAGGGGTTATTCTCACCATTGCCTCTTTTTCTACAGTTAATTATTGCTAGGTGACTGAAATAATGGGTTAAGCACCTTCAGGAAAAGGTGTTTGGGTCAGGGAATGCTGTGTTCGGCCTTCATTGAACAAGAACTATTTGTTAGGCATGAATCTTTGTTACAAACTGAAGTAATATTGTTCAGGGGTTCTGAGACCATAAAGAGACAGCATTGAAGGTGATCCAGGAAACAGAAAATATGAGTCTGCCCTGTGAACGGGAATAATAGCTTCAGTTTTGGGGAAATCACTAGTCTTGAAAGCTATGCCGGTCCCGGCAGGGTGATTGCCCTTCATGGCCCTCCAGTGGCTTTAATGAGATCCATTATGCATTTTATTGCAAACATCGTCATTGTTGGTTAAATAACCCTAAGCGTTGTAAAACTGTTTGAGCAGGGGTTAACAGTGGCTTGGAAACTCATAAACTTATTTCTGGTAAACAGCTACTAACAGAAAATTTCAGCTAGCTAATAGATCAGGCCAGCAACAAGATGGAGGGGGAATATATAATTAACTAGTTAATAGGAGAAAGACAAACGTTCAGGCTCCTGAGCAGAGGCCGTGACTGGAAGAGCTCTGAGTACACACGCTGAGTTAAGGTGTCCACTTGCAGCTTACTTGCAGCTAACAGGTGGGTGCAGAGCAGGAGTGCTGCGGATGGTTGATCCATCGAACACGTATTCTGTTACGAACACATGAACGTTGTGGCGACTCAAGGAAAGTGAGGAGGTGCAGTGTGCCATGGAATGGAACCTTTGAGGATTTGGCATTTTAATGGCTTGCTGAACACCCACGAGGCTTGGAGTTTGTTTTGTTTCAGTGCCTTTCTTTTTAGACTCACCATTGCTTCTGTCTGTGAAGCTTGCTGTCTGGATTATCTGAGTGTGGTCCATGCCGCTCCATTGCTATGGGCTCTGGCATGCGGATGAAAAGTTATTTACTGCTGTTCTTGGGGGCACGGGATGCCCTGGGGGTCTCAGTTTGGCTTCCTTGTGAAAACATAAGGCTACAACATCGGCTGTACCATTAGGTAGTCCAGGGGACGGTGGCCTTGTGCTCCATGGAAAGGGTTCCCTGGTCATGTGCCACTTCCCCAAAGAAGTGAGGAATGTTCAGCCTTTTCCCCCCAGGGAACAGGAGGTTAAAGATTTAATGATGACAGCTCCATTTAGGGCCGGCCTAGCTGCCACCTCGGCGTGATTCCCACCACTGCTGCCTTGCTCTTGTCAGTGATACAGTTACTGCTCACTGGAGCCCGTGGCGGCAAGTACACTGAGGGCTTGTCTGGAGCCCTCCTGGCTTTTAACAGGGCAGGTCCTAGAGTTGATGTCCAAGTCTTATTACTGGGAGGGGATTCTGTGTAGTTGCAGGCGCTGTACAATCATTAAGAGGCAAAGAGCATGATGACCGAGTTCCCACACACGTGGGTAGGTCATGAAATGGGCATGGATGTAGGCAAAGGTGCACGAAAGTACTCAATTCTTATGCAAAAGGGTTAGAGTAGTGGAGAAAGAGAAGCAGGATCAGGACTGCCACATCCATGTTCTGTTGCCTGAACAAGGAATTTACCACACAGGTCATCTGGGGCAGAGTTCCAGGGTTAAGAATCAAGGGTACCATCCGTTGCTTCTGAGGACCTGAAAGCCAGGTTTTTAAAAAGTATATGATTATTGTTATCATTACTTTTTTGTCTTTTTGAGACAGGGTCACTATGCAGTTCAGGCTGGCTTTGAGCTCATTTTGTAACCTAGGCTCATCTCAAACTCGCAACTCCTCCTGCCTCAGCCTCCTGAGTGCTGGGATTACAGGTGTGCGCCACCACACCCAGCTACCTGATTATTATAAAAGAAGAACCATATGGTCATATTCTTATGGAAAAAAGTGTCATAATGGGTGTGTAGGAGCACACTGTAGTGTTTATTTTTGTTTCCCTGGTAACGACTGATGTTGAACAGTTTGGTGTGTATTGGTCATTGGTATTTTCTTTGTCATGAACAGTTCAGATCAGTTCTTCATTTTCCTAACTGAGTTGTCCTTTCTGGCTATTGGTTTCTGTTTCCTGTTTAAAGAAATCTTTGCTTACTCCAAGATCAGGAACATAGTCTAGGATTTCCTGTAGAAGCTTCATATGTTTAGTTTTTATGTTAGATCTAAAATCAACCTTAATTTTTCCATTGGGTATAAGGTGGAAGTTCAGGTTTTTTTTTTAACTGTATGAATATTTAATTGTTTCACCACCGTTTGTTGGAAAGACTTTTTCTTTCTCATTGAATCACTTGGGCACTTTTGTGCAAAGTCAGTTAACCGCAGAGCCTGAGTTTATTTCTGGTCTTGTCCTCGTCCATTTCTGTTGTTGTACCAGTGTCACTGTTCTGATTACTGTAACTTCATTGTTGAAATCAGATAATATAAGTACTCCAACTTTTTTTTTTAGTGTTTAAAATATTTCTTTGTATTGCTGTGTAAATTATGGAACCTAAAACTCCAAAATCATCTGATCTTTGTTGTTTGAAAGACCTGTTAAGAGTCCGATTATAACCTTCAGTTTATTTGGGTTTGTCTTCTCTCAGCGGTGGCTTGTCCCTTTTGGTGTAGAGGTCTTCCATGGTGTGCTTTTTTTTTTTTTTAAGAGAAAAAAGTACCATCCTACAGTGTTAGCTTTGGTTCTCTGAGTGAATAATTAATGGCTGTTTTACACACACACACACACACACACACACACACTCTCACACACTCACACACACACCCCTCACACTTGGCCTAGCTATATTTTCTAAATTTCTCATAATGATGAGGCATCAATTTTGTAGGAGGAAAACCATTTTTAAAGCTAAAGGGGAGCCGGTGTTTGCGAGTGGTTGTGCTCTTGTCACACTGATTCATGGTAAATGTTGATTTTCGAGTACTCCTAGAGCAGCTTTCTCTCTAGCGAGGCCCTTACAGAATTCTGCTGTTCTTTCTCTTCCTGTTTTTTGTGTATAATATATGTACGAGTTGATGCTTAATAAATGATCTCCAGTGATGTCATTCAAACACTCTTATCTGTTGTTACAGGCATTAAAATACATAGGAAATAAAGTAAGAAGGCAAAGGATGTGGGGAGGTGGACCCAAGAAAACTAAGATAGAAGAAGCAAGAGAACTCCTGGCTTCTACCATTCTGACCCATGTACCAGTGAGTAACCTTTTTGCAACTGTGAGTAGTAATGATTGTGGGATCCTTGAATTTGTGGTAAAGAATTGTGAAGACATGTTCGTGCTGTTTGAAGTGTGTTACTTAAGAGAGAATTCTGAAGGACTGTATCCCACTGGGAGTGGCCCTCTGCGTCCAGCCGTTCTTTGTATTCAGAATGTTAGCTGTGTCCTCACCCCCACCCCACGTGGTACTCACTCTCTCAGCGTCCTCTCCATCTCAGTACTTTACATTCACGTGGTGCATGAGCACTGTTACCAGATTTCATGGTTTAAAGGACAGAGCTGGCATGTTGCATGTTTTTAAAATAAGTTAAAACATGCTTACCTTGCCTTTCCCATATGCTTTCACTTACTGTGGTGAAATCTACCTAAGTTTACCATTCTAAGTATGGTTCTTTGTCACTGCAGTAAAAACTTTTAAAATGCTGAGTAAGTTCATTCCCCAGATCTTGACTTTGAGAGCTGACTTGTTCCGCCCCTTCACTTACAGTGAAGTCCTTGTGACCACATCAGCCAGTGATTTGCGTTGTCACCCAGCTGATTAGTGTGTGCAGAGAGACCCAGAATCTGTCTCCCAAGCTGTGAACCAGTGCATGGCATTTATGTTTTATTAACTCACTAAGCAGGTCGGCTGTGTCGGCTTGGAAGGTGTTGGCAAGAGCCCTCTCCGCCCCGCGTAACGTAGGTGCTGCTTATTGCAAAGCAGAGTTACCCCGTGTGCCACGCATGCTCTGGTCCAGGGGCTGCATGTATACCTCGGTGCCGACCCTAAAAGAGGGGAGTCGAGGGATCTATGGTGGTGTGGAGGGCCTGCCACCTGGCAACGTGGAATGCATTTTCGTATGTTAGAGCACCTGTGAGCAAGGAACACCGCCTCTGGTGCTGCCCTTTGCTGGCATGTATGTGTCCTCGATGCCATCCAAAGAACTGGAAAACTCCTAACAGTAACGCTGAGGCCCAACTGCATTTTCAGCTTGTTTTAATAACTAGAAAAGTGGTTTAAACTTAAAACAGCAGCAATGGGTGGTAGAAACATAAGAACTGCTGAGCCAAGATAGCGTTGTTCAGATCCTGATGTCTTACTTCGCAGCCGATTTTCTTAGACAAAATCCAGCTTTTCTGAGCTCCAGCATTCTCCTCAGTGTAGTAAGCATTAATACTGCTCCTGCTAGGGCTCTGTGGCTCAGCAGTGTCCTGTGTGTGCAGCTGGGTGTTCCCAGCTGCCCGTAAGACATGCTGCCTGTGCGGCACTGTGCTTGTCCTCCCTGTGTGGGATGGCTTTCAGGCTGTCACAGAGCCTAGGTGCACAGAGGGCCGCTGTACGGGTGCTTGCTGGGTTTGAATGGAAACGGTTATCCTTTGCACTCTGACAGTGAGGCTGAATTGCCATTTTAAAAGTTTGGGTCTACATAATGCAATGAAGAGTAAAGTCAGAATAGATAAACCAGGAAAAATTCCTTCATTTTCCAGAATGGTTTAGGACCGTATTTGTCCGTATGTGATATAAAAGGTGCTTTTAGGAGATAAGAGGGGACTTGCAATCATGAGCATGTAGAAAGCACTGGCTTAGGGGTTTGCAGCGAGGGAGACGGTGGGCCTTTGGAGGTTTGGTTCTCAGAGAGCACCCCCTGCACTGGTAGCATCAGTGCCACCCTGGACCTGCTGAGATATCGGACCCTGGGGCAGCCCAGCCCCTGGCCCAGTGACTCTGGTGCCCACCACTCCTCTGCGGTGGCCAGGCACCACTCGAACCTGGAGCCCTCTCCTCAAGGTAAGGTTAAACATCCTCCTCCGTCTGGTAGCATCTCACAAAGGAGTATCTGAACCATCACTGATACTGGACTGAAAAGTGATGCCGGTTCCCACCGTCCACGTGACTCTGGGAACATCCTGGGAAACTGCAGCAGCTAACATGTCACAGTGCAGACGTCGGGCTTACTTTGTAGTATTGTAGTGGTCACAGCACGGTGACATGAGTTAGGGTTCCGGAGCCATACAGAGTACAGCAGGGACATTTGCTGTAAATACACACCCCACCTCTTGTGTGTTTCTCAGGAGAACCTACCAGTATTTACATGCGCAGGAGGGAAGGGCGAAATGGGCCTAGCTGAAAGCTGAAGGTTTGGTTAATGAAAATTTGCTTCATTTTTCTCATTTATAAGCAAAGTTAATCCAATTAGAAAAGCCAGCTTCTTTTTTGTTTTGTCTTTTTGAGACAGGGTCTCACTATGCAGTTCAGGCTGGCCTTGAACTTACTTGTAGCCCAGGCTGGCTTTGAACTCACAGCAAGCCTCCTGCCGCAGCTTTCTGAGTGCAGGGATTACAGTGTGCACCACCACGCCCAGCCGAAAAGGTAGCTTTTCACAACTTGCCTCATTGAGAAAGATAAAATGAGCCATAGAGCTTTGTAAATATTGAGAACTTGGATCGTTTATAGCTGTCAGATACTGTGGTTATGGGTATTTTGGCTGTAAGGTGTTTTGAAGGTGGACACGAAACTGTTCTTTTTAAAGACCTTTCTTGGTGATGTAATTGTGGTTGCAAGATGACAAAGTAGCTTTTAGGCCTACTTTTTATTTTACCACATTCCAAATTAATATCTTTTAACATATTCCAAAATTCTCAGTGATAGAGAATACATTGACCCAGAGAAGAAATAAAACTTATTTGAAGGAAAGTGAACTTTTTGGAACACATACAGAATACTAACACCCCGTGTTATGTAGTGGAATTCACTAATAGCAAGAGTAAAATTGTGGAGCCCCCCG